TTCTACACTGCCACCCTCCCCCGAGCCCACGAACAATCCATTGGAGGGTGCCTGTGTATACTTGTTTGCGGCGGATGCCCCTGCAGGGGCAGTCGACGCTGAGGTATGGGACACCACTGCAGGGGGATATCTGGCTGCAAACATCCCTCAAGTTCTGGACCACCGTTGGTATCCTCCTCCAACTCTTCCTCCTCCTCCTCCTGCTTCAACCATCTGACCTGCAGGGGTGGGGTTCCCACGTGGATGCCTGCCAATGCCAGAGAGCAGAATAACAAAACCGAAGGGTGCTGAATGTGCGATGCACAACAGAAACAACAGGATGAGGAGCCAGAGGAAAAAGAGAAAAGGAAACAAATAATGAAGAAACGACAGCGGAAGAGGAAACGAATACAGAAAGAGAAGAGCATAAAAAGAACGCGAAGGTGGAGGCGGAGGCGGACTGGAAGACAGCAAGCAAGAAGAAACATCAAGACCAACACTAACCAAACAACAATAATGGTATCAAGATGCTTCCGCTTTCTCACAAACTGCGCGCGCCCCCTTCTGGCAATATTCGTGGTATCTTGCCACCTGGTCTCTTCTTCTGTGAATATCTGGAACGTTTGACGTGATGTGATCAAATCTGTACGTTCCTCAGAATGGCTCACTCCGTAGTCACACCAGGCCGCTGAGCATTGGTGGATTGTCAGATCAAGTCTTCGAGATAAACAAAATGATTCCCCTTCGGCCACGGCGCAACAGTGCCCCCATCGCATCTGGACTCGAGGAGAACGAAAGACGAGACCAAAAATGGCACAACAACAACGACAACCACAACCACAACCACAACAACCACAACCACAACAACGACAACGACGACAACAACAACAACAACAACAACAACAACAACAACAACAACAACCACAACCACAACCACAACAACAACAACAACAACAACAACAACAACCACAACCACAACCACGACAACGACAACAGCAACAGCAACAGCAATAACAACAACAACAGCAGCAGCAACAGCAGCAACAACGACAACAACAACAACAACAACAACAACAACAACAACAACAACAACAACAACATCAACAACAACAACAACAACAACAACAACAACAACAACAACAACAAACAACAACAGCAACAACAACACGGGCAGCAATGTGCCACGGTGCTTCCGCCATCTCACAAGCTGCGACATGGGTCCCACGGCTGTGACGGGAGACGGGTCCCGCACCCGTGGGACCTTCCCCGTCGACCGGCTCCGCATCCCGAGTCCTTCTTCGCTGGTCCTGTGGGGCCCGCCGCGGGCCACTGGAGTCCGAAAACGGCGAAAAAAACACCCAGGGCTCGCTCCCCTCGTGGGAAAACACAAAAAAAAACCCGCAAAACACAGTGTGTGTTTTTGTTTTTTTCCCACAGTGTGTGTTTGTTCCCACAGTGTGTGGTTTTTCGTGTGTTTTCCCCACAGACTGTGTGTTTTTGTTCCAACAGACCCCCCTGAACACACACCCCTGTCGCAAAGACTGGCACACCTCCTCTCCGTGCCGACCTCGAGGATCCCCTCGGTGCCGAAGGGGCGCCTCCTCGAGACTGCAGCCGCCTCTGGCTTCTCAGCCTCAGAGGGAAGAGGGCGAGCCCGAAAAACCCGCGGCCTCAAAAGAACCGCCTCGCGACACGGCGACGGGACGATTCCGCTGCTCCCCGGACCTCTCGGACCGGCACCTCGAGAACCCGGCCGTGCTGACGAGGGCCAGGGACGCGCAGCGGCCTCCCTCCCTGAAGGGGCCCTGGGACACAGAAGTAAATACACACAAATAAAAAGATCCCCCATGCTTTCCTACATCTTCGGGGCTTCTGTCTTCCCCCCCCACCTCCCTTATTTTCGCATATCTCTTGGGAATCGACGAATCATTGTGTCTGTGTGTGTGTGTGGGGGGGGGGGGGCACTCCTTTTTGAAGGGGCGCTCCTTTTTGAAGGGGCCTGGGGACACACAAATAATAAATGCACACAAACAACAGGATCCACCATAGTTTCCCACCATATCTTCTGGGTGATTGTCTTCCCTGCCACTTCCCATATCTTCCCATATCTTCCTGAGGATCGACGATCCATTGTGTCTCTGTGTGTGTGTTTTTCCCCCTCCTGACTCCCCTCGGGCGCTCCTTTTCCTCGCCTCCGAGCCGCGGCTGGCCCGAGCCGCCGCGGAGGCCGCCGACAGCTCCGCGGGCGCGGCGGCGTGGGCCGGCCCGCCCGCGGGGCCGAGGCCCGCCCCGTCCGCGGGGCCGAGGCTCTCCAGCGCCGCCCAGGGCCGGGCCGTGCCCTCGCCGCCCCCGCGGCGCGCCCAGAGCTCGGCCTCGGAGGACGAACGAACAACTAGAGGAAAGAGAACTATGCACATGCACCGAATCTGGCCAGATCTATGCCATCCTGAGCCCATGATCGGTGCATACGCCCTCCTGCTTTGGCCAGGAAGGCATATGCACCGATCCTGGGTCAAGGATGGGCCTCGCCAGGATCGGTGCATGTGCATGATTCTCTTCGCCCGAACAACACACACCCATGCCCACAAGGGCGGTCGCTGGGAGGAGGACTCGCTGTGGGTATGGGCGCGGGCTGTCGGACCCTGGGGAAAACGCTCCCGCTCGGGCGGGGACCCCCATCCGACCACACGTGCCCATAGCCCCCTCTCCGACCCCCCTATGGGTATGGGTGTGTGTTGTTGGTTCGTCATCGAAGCGGCTTCGGGGCAGGAAAAAGCATGCGGAGGCCTCCCAGAGGGGGTCGGAGCACGTGGGGTCGGAGGATGTCGCGCCGCACAGGCGGTGCGTCGTCGGCGTGGGCGAGATGTATCGGCGACGTCGGCGTGAAGCAGCTCGGGCCCCACGTCGCGCCGCACCGGGGACGCATCGGCGATGCGGCGCGATCCTCCGACCCCACCTGCTCCGACCCCATATAGGAGGCCAAGGAAGAAGCGGCACAGACACAGAAACGTTCGAGGGACCGCGCGGATTTAACCAGCCTCGAACGTATCCCTATCCCTAGGATGAACAAGCCAAAAGTCGACGACAATCTTAGGGATGCGCCCTCAGAAACGGAGGGAATCCCCAAGATCGGCATCGAGATGAGGCGATGCCAATCATGGGGATGGGGACATGTTCCAGGCTGGTGAGGATTGCCTGGAGCTGCGACGAGCACCTCATGACGGCTGACGGCATCCTGAGCCCACTCCAGATTTCGTAATAAAAGGGAGGGGGTCTGAACCCTCCAAGACAAGCCATTTCAGACCTCCCCCGTGGGAGACCCCTCCAAAACGTCGTCCCCAGACCCCCCAGGCCCTCCAAGATAGCCTGGAAGAGACCCCCCCCGAAATGAGACCCCCCTCCCTTTATCACGAAATCTGGAGAGTACCCCCCCCCCCACACCCGAGCGTCGCCCACCGGCTGCTTTCGGGCCCTACCTCGGCTCTCCGGCGGCCCTTCGGGACGGCGCGGGCGGCCCCGCGGCGCTCTCGCCGAGGCGCACCCGCTGGCAAAAACACACCCCGAAGCCGGGAGGCCCACAGACACGCCCGAAAACCTCTCGAGAGCCTCTGGTCGCTGGCCCCCAGCAGCCCCGACGTCCACCGATCTGACCTGCGTGCCTCCGCGGCCCCGGGCCCCGACCGCTGCCCTGGCGGCAGTTGCTCGCCCTGGCTCCGGCGCTGCTGGCCCCGGGGCCCCGGGACTGCACCCGGAGGCCGCAATCAGGGAGGGGGTGGGCAGCCGGCCGCTGGGCCGCCTGGCGCTGGCTCGCAAGGCAAATGGGGCCTGCGCGGAGCCGCGCTCTCCTCCTCCTCCTCCTCCTCCTCCTCCTCCTCCTCCTCCTCCTCCTCCTCCTCCTCCTCCTCCTCCTCCTCCTCCTCCTCCTCCTCCTCCTCCTCCCTCCTCCTCCTCCTCCTCCTCCTCCTCCTCCTCCTCCTCCTCCTCCTCCTCCTCCTCCTCCTCCTCCTCCTCCTCCTCCTCCTTCCCTTCCAGACGCTCCCGGGGAGAGAACGCAGGTTGAAGACTCATGCCGTCGCAGGTCTGCGTACAGGCAGGGCTCGGACGTAGTCGCCTGTGCCTCCCCTGGGGTGCTTTCCGGCCAGAGTTTCGAGGAGAATTCGGCCGTGGCGACGAGGGCTCTCCAGGACGAGCAGGGGTATCGGTACCGCTTCCTCCTCTGACTGACTACCCGACGGGCTCCGATTTCGTCACACGGCTCTGCGGCAACTCACGGGTGCCTCCCATCTCCTCTCGCTGGTTCTTGCGAGTCGACGCTGACCGACGCTAATCGACGCTAGTCGACGCCAATCAACGCTAAATCGACGAGAATCGACGGCAAATCGACGCCAAATCGGCGCTTGCTAGTCGACTGCCAGACGCTAGCCGCACGCCTATGCACTCCATGACGACCTGCAAAGCCACCCCCCGCCCAACTCGAAGCCGCCGCTGGGCCTGTCAATTTCCACTGGGGGGCACTCCAGAACATTGAGAGTACCGAGAAACCCGCACCCACCCCAAGCCGAAATCTGTGGGGGGGGTTCTGGGGCCTTCGGGGTGGATTGGCAAGCAGCGACTCCAAAGACGGAACTCCGAGGACGCGCAAGGCTCCCGTCCGATGCCTCGGCGATGCGGCTCGAGGTGTGGCCCGACTTCCCCGACGCCGACGTCGCGGATGAGATGTATCGGCGATGTATCGGCGCGATCCTCCGACCCGACATATCTGTGTATAGGTTAACGACCAAAAGTCGAATGTACGATACCCCGCAGGTAGAGGCGAGTGAGGAAGAGGGCAGCTAATCCTTTGCCCAGGGCGCCGCGCGGAGGGCAGCGCGGTGTGTGCACCGATACCTGAACCGATACGCTAGCGGTCTGTAGTGATAGAATGGTGAGATGAGCGGACTTCACACACACAAGATCTACGCAGACCCCATATGGGAGGCGCCCATGGGTTGCAACACCGCCTCCAGGGGCGCAGCCCCCGCCTCCCGGCCGCCCCGCAGCGCGCGCAGGCCCGCCAGCACGGCCCTCAGGTCCGCGGGCAGCGCGTGCGCCGCGGAGCGGGCCGCCCCGGCGAGGTCCCGGAAGCCCAGGCGGTAACGGTGCAGGAAGTGCCGCGCGCACCAGCCCGGGTCGGTCCTCCGCTGGGGACAGTCGGCCCATCTCCTGACGTTCTTCTGGCGATATTCGCCTGTCTTCTCTGTGTGTGCGTGTGCGCGTGTGCGCGTGTATGCGTGTGCGCGTGTGCGCGTGTGTGTGCGTGTTTGCGTGTGTGCGCGTGTGCGCGTGTGCGCGTGTGCGCGTGCGCGCGTGCGCGCGTGCGTGCGCGTGTGCGCGTGTGCGCGTGTGCGCGTGTGCGCGTGTGCGCGCGTGCGCGTCACACGCGCACACACGTAGACACACGCGTGTGCATGTGAACCGCGGTGTTTAGATCCTGTCACTAGCTCAGCGTGTTTACCAGCCTGGAACATATCCCTATCCCTATGCTGGGCACCTCCTCATCACGATGCCAATCTTAGGGATTCCCTTATTTTTTGAGGGCGAATCCCTATGATTGTCATCGCCTTTTGGCATGTCAATCTTAGGGATAGGGATACGTTCGAGGCTGGTAACGTGTGGCAAAACACTGCGGCGGTGAGCGGCGCAGAGAAGAGAGCACCGGTACACACACGCGCGCCGCGCGTGGCAAAGCACTGCGGCGGTGCGCGGCGCAGAGAAGAGAGCACCTGTACCGTCGGGGCGCTGACCTAAGGAACCCTGAATAAGGAACGAGGCCCCTATTTTCCATAAGTTAAAGTTCGATCTCCGATCGAAAACCTACGGGCAGCCCAAGGCAAACTGCAAAACAATCAAGGAACACGGAGCCCCTCCCCAACGAAAAGGGTTCCTTGTTTAGCGCCGCGACTGTACACACACACGCGCAAACAGGGGATATGTCGACCCCTATCCCAGGCTTCGTGGGGTTTCCGAATGGACCAGAAATTTGGGGCCTAACCCTGGGATATACGATGGGGGGGTGTCCATTCTCGATAGGGGTGCGTCCGAATAGCCCCCTTGGGGTGTATCCCAGGGTTCTCCCGTTCTTCTGAGCGGCCAGACTTTTCGGGCGAAACTCGGGGATTGGGGGAGAAACATCGCCCGCGATCGAGAAGAGAGCACCGGAACACACACGCGCCGCCTCAGCCAAGCTGCACGGAAGCCGTGCTCGGCGCGAAGAGATGAATGCCACTCCGGGAGGCTCCTCGTCGCCGCGGCGGAGTATCCGCCTCGAAGCACGGGTCCGCGTGGAGGGGCGCCTGGTTCGGCCCCCGCGTGTTCCTTCGGCTTCGGTTTCTGGGAAGCCGTCATCGTGCACTGGTAGGCAGCGCACAAAGGACGTACGCGCCCAGCTATGCACATGAGCACGGCCCCTTGACCCGCGAGACCGGCCGCGTGATACGAACATTCGCCGAATGCGAAATCTCGAAAACAGCGTGGATTCATGTACGTGTGCGTCCTTCTTTCGCTCCTGAATTGGAACGATCAAAGCCGGATTCGTGACGCCAAGCTGCCCCAGGGGAAGGGGTCGTCGGGTGCTCCGCTGGGATGACCTGGGGGGGGGTGCTTAGGGGATGGGGAGGTTCTGCATGGATGCGAACTAAGATTGGCGAGCACCTACCAAAAACTAGGGTATCATTGGGTTAACGATGCCTTAAGTGGCTTGGGTGGGTTCGATAACTCCGCTAAGTGAGCGCAGCCCACTCAGTCGAGATCTCAAGCCACTTACGCAATCCTTCACAAGAGTTCTATTGCAATTAACGCACAATTGCGGACCCCTCTGTGCCACCAGATTGCACCAAGCACACCCAGGAGCCACGCGAAGGCCAACCTGCAGTAGGGGAGCCCGCACGCGACACCCTGGCCTGTGCAGTGCAGCGGCGATGGACTCAAGCCACTTCGGCCACTCACGCGCCTCCACCCCGCTCATAAACTACAGTGGAGGCCAGTCCACAAGAAACCTTCCACAAGAAACCCAACCCTGAGACCCCAGGACGTCCGTTGATTTTTGGCCTGGGAAGAGCACGCCTTCCATCGCAAATGCATCGAAGCCCAAGAAACCCAGGGCACCCTGGAGACAAGCAGGGTGCTTCTTGGCATGGGTTTCCACTGTATGCCACGCCAGCTATGCCCAGCCTCAGCACCCGCGTAGAACTTCCCTATCCCCTCAGCACCCCCCGCGGTCCGTCGCGCACGGGCCGGCCGCGCGGACCACCCGAAGTGTTGAGGCCCAGTAAAGCGACCGGCGTGCTGACCCCCCCCCCTCGCGACAGGAGGTGCGTCGCGCATTCGTCGCCCGTGCGCCGCCCGTGCGTCGGCCGCCGAAATGGCCACCCGAAGGCAGGCCCTCCGCCTCCGAGAGCGCCTTTTCTGCTCTGCCCCTCCCCGCGGCAGCCGGCGCGGCCTCTGCCGCCGCGGGGGGGGCGGGGCGGCGCTTGGCAGCCCGAGGGCAGCGAACTCTGTACGCGTCTTTGCAGGGGCCCCAGGGCACACGAACAAGTGGACACGAATAAAAATACTCCCCATAGCACACAGAGAAAGATACTCCCCTGATTTCCCCACGTTTTCTGGGTCTTCGCCTTCCCCCCCCCCACACTTTTCCTTTTATTCGCCCATACTCTCCTGGGAGTCGGCGATTCCTTGTGCCTGTGTGTGTCTTTCGCTCCGGAATCTTCTCCCCAGGCCTGGGCCCAGGATGGGCCAGGCCTGGGGCAGTGGATGTGTACGATCCCGTTGTCATGTGGGCTGTGGGCACCACAGCCTCGGCCCATGGCAACCCCCGCGGGAGGCCCCGCCACGCTGGGAGGCCCCGAGATTCCGCGCGCGGGGGCGGCTCGGGGGAGCCGAGCCAGACCCGCTGTGAAACAGCGAGCGGCCAAGAGAATTGGGGGGCCCTTCTGTCGGGCACACGCTAACATGGACTTGGGATCCGTGGATCTGGCGCCCACGCGCCAGATCCACGGATCGCGGAAGGCACACCCCCAACCATGGGGCCAAGGCCGCCTCATTTGGCGATGCAGCCAGTCGATGTCGTATGGAAACGGGGCCCGTCGCTGATCCACCCGCCATATCTATGTTTGCGCCTCCTCGGTTCTTTTGGTCAACGGGTCCTTGGTCCGTACATCCCGTCACCCACGACCGGGTGACCGACGTGCGACAGGTGGCACCGGATCTGGTGCGTCCTGCCCGTAGATATCGTGAGCCCAAGGAGCGACAAGGGCGAGCCCTCCCGGTCGAGGTGCGCGAGCACCTTCAGCCGGGTCGAAGCTGGATGGCCACGCGGCGACACCTGGGAGCGGCCGCCTCTGACCTAGAGTAGAGGAAGTAAGATTGCGTAAACATAAACTTTCGACTGCCCGCGCTGGACCCCCCTCCCTGGCGCGCGGAGCGCGCCAATGGCGGCGCTGGAGGCGCCGCCAAGGGGGTTCAGCCCAAATCCAAGAAATCCGCTCGGACCGTTGGAAAATTATGTTTACTCCGTTTGATTATTCCTCGGTCACCTTGAGGATGGGCTCCGATATGTCGAGGTCGCAGGTCACGTGGCCGTGGCACAGGGCGACGTAGTCGCGCTGCAGGCGCCCCAGCTCGCGCTGGATGCAGAGGTCGAAGAAGCCCTCGTAGCTGGTGGCCTGGATCACCAGGCCGCTCGAAGGCGTGTCCAGGCGGTGGACGAAGCCGAAGCCGTGCGCCGCAGACCTCACGACGGCCGAGGCGGGCGCGCGGGCCCCGAGGAACGAGGACAGCGGCGACGCGCCCTCGACCACCGAGCCCTGCGTGGAGTCCACCTTTCGAGAGGCCACAACTCGCCATCGCTCGGACGCCCCTTCCCTGTGTTTTTTCCGGTCTCGTGCGTGGCTTTTTCGCCAAATGATCAAGGATGCTCCTCGATGGCCCTCGCCGGAGGAAAAATACACACGTCCAAGCGATGCCGAGACAACTGGGTACCCGAGACTTCCCGACGACCGTGGCGCGAGCGAGCCCGCGGTTTCACCCCACGCGGCGCCCCCTTGGGAGGGCCGATGGCCATGCCTGCTACGTGACGATGGTCGTCGGGCTCAGGAAAGAAACGCAGCTACCCCCCCCCCCACAAAAAAAAGCAACCATACACGAGAGGTCCTGACAATGTGGGCGCCAACAAGCCTGGAAGTTTGCCCCGGGCGTCTGCTCCTGGGGAGGCCGCAGGGCCATGCCTGTTACATAGCAATGCTCATCTGGTTCTGGAAAGCTACGCGTGTACCCCCCCATCCCCTCCAGAAGCACATCTATTTATCAGAGTGCGGGGGCCGAACTGGCATTCACTGTCCCTGGGTGCGTGGCTGAAGTGGGATTCCGCGATGCGGATTATTGTTGTTGCTGCGGTTGTTGTTGCTGGTGTTGTTGTGTTTGTTTTTGCTGTTGGTGGTGGTGGTAATGTTGTTGCTGTGGTTATTGTGCTTGCTGTTGTTGGTGTTGTTGTTGTTGGTGTTGTAGTTCTTGTTTGTTGTTTGTTGTTTGTGTTGAGGTTGTTTTTGTTTGGCGCCGTTTTCCCCGCGACCCGGCCCGCGACCCGCCGGCGGCCCACCTGCGACCTACCCGCGACCCACCCGCGACCCGGCCCGCGACCCACCCGCGACCCGGCCCACGACCCACCCGCGACCCACCCGCGACCCACCCTGCGGCCCACCCGCATTGCTTCAGCAAACAATCGGCGTCGGCGTCAGGCTCGTTATATAATTGATGAAAAAATCAGGCGCCTGCGGCGGCTTCTTCAGAGCCTCGCAGACTGAAAATGTCCCCGCCCCCCCCTCCCTCGTATCCGCGACCGCGGCGTGCTACGTATCGGCCGACCCTGTTGGCGTGGAAAACGCTCTTCCGCTCGTCGTCGTCCTCGTCCTCGTCGTCGTCGTCGTCGTCGTCGCCACAGCCGTCGCCGTCGCCGTCTCTCCTTTTCCCTGGGCCCTCCTCCTCAAGCGCGCCAGCCACAGCGAGATTGAGCAAAGTCGTAGTTGAATCGAAGGAATGCCCCTTCTCTTTGATCCTTTCCCCGCTGGCGGGGGATGGGTCCCAGGGGGGTGTCGAAGAAGGGTCCCAGAGGGGGGATGTTGGGAAAGGGTCCCGGAGAGTAGGGTCCCATCCGTGTCAGAATATCATTCCAGCCCGGGGGTCTCGGGGCCCAGAAAACCTCAAGACGGCAAAAGGGTGCCCCTGGAGGCCTACAAGACGGTCCAAAGGGCCGCGAGTCGCCGAATTATCCGTCCCATACGCCACAGATAGCCTCCAGACGGTCCAAGACACCTCTCAGACGCTCCACGAGGCCTCCAAGAGCACTCCGAAAAGGCCTCAAGAGGTAGAAATCATAGATCTTCTGTTCTTTTCGGAAAATGTTGGTGATATCGCCTTCTCGGCTTCCCGACGCTCCAAGACGGCTCATAAGGCCTCCACGATCGCCCCTAGATAGCCCTAGAAGTCTCCAAGAAGGCCCCGAATCGACCCAAGAGGGCCCCCAGGCAGCCCAAGAGGTCTCCAAGACGGCCCAAGAGGCCCCAAAGACGGCTCCCAGAGCGTGCTCACACAGGAGACTCGAAAAGAGCTTTGGAACCTCCAGCCCCAGAGCCTCCCATCCCAGGAGGCCCCAAGAGGTCCCAAGAAGCCCCCAAAGAGGCCCCTAGAGGCCTCCAAAAGGCCCCCAGAGGCCACCTGTTCCCCCTTCCCTGTCCTCCTCGCATACAGGGTCGGCGGCACCAGTCGCAAGACCTTCACACACACACACACACACACACACACAGACACACACACACACACACACACTGAATGTATGTGTATATATATATATATATATCCACAAACATAAACATGTATGGATATATACATATATAGAGAGTGTAGCGGCAACGGCCTCCGGGAATCCATCCGACCGATAGACCGATAAACCGATCAAAACGAATCGGTTGATCGGTATGTCGGCAAATTGACTGATAAGCCGATATGATTATATCGGTTTATCGGTCGATCTGCCAATATACCGAACAACCGATAACCTTTATCCGCGAACGTCGAGACGATGGTCGACGCGCTTTCCTTTTCTTCGTCGGTTTATCTCTTTATCGGTTTATCGGTTTATCGTCTCATCGGGGGACTGGTTGGTCTGAAAACGCTGGGGGCAACCCTGAAGACTCGATCCGTGCGCCGCATATCGATTTACCGGGTTATCGGCTTATCGGTTTATCGGCCGGTTGTCAGGCCCCCGCCGCGACGACGACGGCGACGGCTCCGGGGCGGCTCTCCCTGACCGTGAGTTTTGCGATTGGCTCTTGTGCGGACGGAGTCCCGCGGGGGTCCGAGCCTCTCCCGCCGCATACGATGATCTGCGTGGTAGCGCAGGCCCTGCGAGGGTCTCAGGCGACAGTGGCCGAACCAACTTGGGGCAGGGCATATCCGAGGTCAGATCTCAGGCGAAAGTGGCCTGACCATTCAACACACGGCATCTCAGAATCGAGGGTTACGAGGATGTCTCAAGCGAAAGAGGCCTGAACAGGTCAGCAGTAGGCGTCTCGGAATCCACTGTTGCGAAGTTGCGACTATGTCTACGGCGAGACTACTTAGATAGTCGCATGTCGCGGCGCGTTGAAACCCAGACTTCCGAGGATGTCTCACGCGAAACGGGCCTCCTCCCCCTCCTTCTCCTCTTCTTCCTCCTCCCCCTCCTCTTTTCCCTCTCCTTCCTCCTCCTCCTCCCTCCTCCTCCTCCTCCTCCTCCTCCTCCTCCTCCTCCTCTCACATCCTCCTCCTCCTCCATCTCCTCCTCCTCCTCCTCCTCTCCTCCTCCTCCTCCTCCTCCTCCTCCTCACTCCTCCTCCTCCTCCTCCTCTCCTCCTCCTCCTCCTCCTCTCCTCCTCCTCCTCCTCCTCCTCCCCCCCCTCTCCTCAGCCAGCCGAGCCAGGCCGAGCCGCCGGCGGGCCAGCCGATCTGCCGATATACCGATCAACCGAAATAGTTTATCGGTTTACCGGTTGATCGGATTATCGGTTTATTTTCAGGTCCTGCGGCTGCAATATATATATATATATACACACACGCACACGCATCCATACACATATGCACACGCATCTACCAATACATAAGAAATGCATACACCTATACATATACGCATTCGTAGCACACATACATGTACATTTACATGTGCATATACATATACATATAACTGCACAGATACATAAACATATGCACAGACCTATACATATGCATACACATGTACACACACACCTACGCATATGCCACGTATGTAAGCGTACACACCTATATATAAGTATCGATACATATACATAGACATGTACCTGTAAATATACTTATACCTATACACATATGTATGCATGTACATATACCTATGCATACGCCTATACATGTACACATGCATACACGTATACATGTGCAGATGCATATGCAAACGCGGATACAAATACCTATACATACACGTATAAGTATAAATGCAAGTGTATGTATGCAGTTACATGTACATGTACATATACATATACATATACATACGCATATACATATACACCTGCGTTGGACAGACAACGCTACATGTACCTGTATTTGAACATATGCATGTACATAAATATATACATGTACGTACACATACATGCATATACACATACATATTACATGTCGTACCCGAGAGGGCCCAACAATATTCGCACCATCAGGCATATACGTCCTGGCTGCTTCCCCTCGGGAGGCCCAAGTGAGTCTGAGCGTGGTTGAGCCCGAATATGAACGCGTCTGATTGTCACTGAGTCTGCGCTCGAGCGAATATTCGATACTAGCTAGCACGAGTCCGCACGAGTGAGTCACAGTGTGAGTGAGTCCGAGTATCGGTGACTCTGTTTGTGAGTAGGTCTGAGCATTACCGAGTCTGGGTACGAGTGGGCATGACGGGAAGTGAGTCTAGAGCTACAGCAACATAGGCGTGAATCAGTCCGAGTGAATCGTGAGTCTGCGAGTGAGTCTGTCTGAGCGTGAGCAAGAAAGAGAGGGAGGTTAGGGAACGACGCGGAGGCATCACGCTAATAACAGGAACCCATACTTTGATGTACCTTGGACGACGTCAGCCGTGTGACAGACGACAGTGATGCGCGCTGTCGCTCGTGACACCGCCCGCGGAAGCCTGTGTCGAACTGGTCTGGTCCGTGGTCGGCGTCAACCAAATCCAGGGGGCCCCAAGTTCGGCCCGCACGCACCTCCCAGCCCGGCGGCTTGAGGAGCACGGTCGACCCGGGCGCCTGTTGGCGATTGCAGAAGGCGGTGGGGCACGGGGGGGCTGCCTTCTCAGAAGGCCGGGGCTGCTTGGAAGGGCCCTGCGACTCCCAAGAAGGCTTCTGAGAAAGCGAGAGGGCGAAGCTGCTAAGAAACCCCGAGAGCCGCCCCCCCCGCGCCACCCAGCTCGAGGGCGTTCAGGAGGGGAGCGCCCAAGAGCGGGGGGCGCAAATCATGGCCGGCGGCATGTGCGCGGCCAAGGGGGGGGCCCCGGGGACGGCCCGAAAGAAGAAGAGGCGCCATGAAATCTGGAGAGACATACCATGGCCCCCGTCATGATATCCAGCCCCTCCTGGTCGTCACCTCCCTCCTGTCCGCCCCCGACCAACGACCTGCACCCACTCCCTCGCGGGCCCCCGGAAGCCCCCTCCCCGGACCACCCCCCCCCGGCAGGTCTCCGAAGCCGAGCCCCGCAGTGGCGACGAGCGCCTCCATGGTGGCGCCGCGCGCGCCCCCCGCGACGGCCGCGGCCGTCGCCGCGGCCCTCGTCTGTGGTCGTCGTCGCCGATCGCCGCTGCTGGCGACGCCGCCTCCAGCACCACGCCGCCGCGGCTGCCGCCGCCGCCGTCGCGGCCGCCGCCGCCGCCGCCGTGGCCTCCGCCGCGGTCGTCGCATGCGTCGCCGATCGTGGCCGTGAGCTTCTCGGGCGCTGCCCCAGGGGGGGCGATCGTGCCCACCCCGACCCAATCAAGAGAGGCAGCGATAGGGGGGACCGACGTACGGCAGGACACATGGACCTAGAATCGGCGATACATCGCAGATAGAACGGCGCTAGGCCCCCGATCATGAATCCAGACGGGCCATCGGACCCCCATCGGCGATCCATGGGCGATTGGAGGTCGGTGCATCCCCCCCCATGCCGATCCCCCCCACCCCCCTGTCGCTGCGCCTGAATCCGCCGATCCGTCGTTTGAGTTTCAGATAGCCTGAGCTACAGCCTGCAGCCTGAGCTTCAGCTCTGCTGGGGGTGGCGCCAGGGTGGCTCTGCTGGGGACAGGGGGGGGTGGAGCTGAGACGCGCAAAAGTCAACCAAATTCAAAACCTGGGCGCCAGGAAAGCCCAAGATGGCCGCCAGATATTTTCCAGACGGCTCCAGATGAACCCAAGATGGCCCAGGGTGCCCTCCAAAAAAGGCCCGAAGAGGCCCAAATCTTTGGTTTCCTATATGCCTTTGAAAGATTTGAGCGCTTCATTCTTTTCGGCTTTCCGACGGCCCCAGAGGCCCCCAAGATCGCCCCAGAGGCCTCCACGATAGCCCTTTGACGGCCCAAGAAGCTCCTAAGACGCACCCATCGGCCCCTAAGACGGCCGAGATAGCCTCCACGACGGCCCTGAAGCGCCCCCAGAGCGCTTCCAGACGGCACAGCGAAGCGCCCAAGACGGTTTCCGACGGCGTCCGACGGGCCAGGAACGCCCTCGGACAGCCAAAAAGGCTTCCGAGAAACCCCCAAGAGGCTCAAAGACCCCCTCAAAAGGACTCCTCCTACGACGGCCCCAGGGAGGACCCCAAGACAGCCTCATAGGCCTCCAAGCAAACCCGAGCACCAACGGGAACGCCCCGGATCGGCGGCACCTGCCGGAGGCCACTAAATATATCGCCCCCCACAACCACTGCGAGGCAGGGATATATCCAGATCCGCCGCCTATGGAACCAACGCCCTGGGACCCCAGCGGGCGGAGGACGTGGATGCCTCTGGGCCCAAGGGGGCCCGCGGATGTCCACGTCCACCCCCTGCCCGGGCCCCCGAACACGGATCCCCCGGCCAGTGGTCATGGACATGAGCCCTCGCTTCGGCACACTCCTCCCGCCCGCCCGCCTCCTCCTCCTCCTCCTCCTCCCCCTCCTCCTCCTCCTCCTCCTCCTCCTCCCCTCCTCCTTCTCCTCCTCCTCCTCCTCCTCCTCCTGGGGCGCGCGCCGAGCTCCGCCCGCCCGCCGCCCGCCGCCCGCCGATCCAGCACCACCGATCGCCGCCCCGCCGCCCGCCCGCCCGCCGATCGTCGGGGGAAGGGGGGGGGGATCGCCGCCCGCCCGCCCGCGCCCCGCCGCCCGCCCGCCCCGCCGATCGTCGCCGATCGCCGCCCGCCGCCCGCCGCCCCCCGATCGCCGCCGATCGCCGCCCCGCCCGCCCGGCCGATCGTCGCCGACCCGCCGCCCGCCGCCTCCAGCACCACGCGCGGCGGGTCCCGCCCCGCGCCGGCGGGCGCCGCGGCGGCGGGCAGCGGGGGGCACCGCAGCGCGGAGGGCGGCGCGGCGGGCGTGCCCGCGGCGCGGTCGAGGGCGCGGCCGAGGGCGCGGAGCGCCTGTCAAGGGGGCCAAGGACACGCAGATACATACACGCAAAGAAAGGGATTCCCCATATTTTCCCATATTTTCTGGGTCTCTGTCTTCCCCCCCTACTTCACATATGTTCCCACATTTTCTGGGGAGTCGACGATTCATTGTGTCTGTGTATTGTTCTCCCTCCTGAGCCTGGGGCCCCCGTGCCGTGAGGACATTCGGTTATTTTGCTTCGAGCGATCCCCTCCGAAACCCGCGGCGTCTGATCCCGAGGGTGCGCGCGCTCCTTGGGGCGGCGTGCGCGGGGGCCTCGGTATGCGCGCGGCGGCCGGGCCATGTCGCGAGTTGTGTGTGCGACGTGTGGTGTTGTGCTGTGTTGCGTGCGACCAAATCTGCCACACCTGACGGTGTTATGTTGTGCCATGTTATGCTGTGGTAAAGCATATGATGCCGCGCTCGGTCATGACACGATTTGTCATGGTATGGAATGGCATGTGCTGTGGTACTGTGCTATGGTGCGGTTTGTCGTGCAATGGTATGGTATGTGGTTCGTGGTTGTACCATGGTATGTAATGATATCTTTTGAAAAGTTACGTATGATCCAGTATGTCAAAGCATGCGTTGAAATGATAGTTTGTGATCTGACCAGTTATGCCATGGTATGTAGTGGCGTGATATGTTCTGACTTGGAATGTTTTGTTATGCGCTTCTGTGCGATGGTATGCTTAACTGCCCCATGGTATATAATGATATGCACTGCGAGTCCGCGCGGTGGTTTGCACTGCTATGTCATGGTGCGTCATGTTACGATAAGGTATGTCATGACATGGCATGTTAGGTTCGGAAATTGTTTGTTTGGTGGCGCGGTGTTATTGCTGTGGTTTGTGGGGGACATAAAGATCTGGCGGCCGCGGTTTGCAGAGTGAACGAGTCGGCGCGGGGAGCGGGACCCCCAGGGATCCACCAAGGATTATCGTGAGCCTGGGGATCTGGCGGCAGTGGTACGCACGGCGGTGGGGGATGCAGGACC